TACAGAGGTTATGATGTTATTACAGAGGGTATGATGTTATTACAGAGGGTATGATGTTATTACAGAGGGTATTACAGAGGGTATGATGTTATTACAGAGGGTATGATGTTATTACAGAGGGTATTACAGAGGGTATGATGTTATTACAGAGGGTATGATGTTATTACAGTGGGTAGAACAGAGGGTATGATGTTATTACAGAGGGTATTACAGTGGGTATAATGTTATTACAGTGAGTATTACAGAGGGTATGATGTTATTACAATGGATATGATGTTATTACAGTGGGTAGAACAGAGGGTATGATGTTATTACAAAGGTTATGATGTTATTACAGATGGTATTACAGAGGGTATGATGTTATTACAATGGGTATGATGTTATTACAGTGGGTACAACAGAGGGTATGATGTTATTACAGAGGTTATGATGTTATTACAGTGGGTATGCTGCTATTACAGAGGGTATGATGTTATTACAGAGGGTATGATGTTATTACAGAGGGTATGATGTTATTACAGAGGGTATGATGTTTTTACAGTTGGTATTACAGTGGGTATGATGTTATTACAGAGGGTATGATGTTATTACAGTGGGTATTACAGAGGGTATGATGTTATTACAGTGGGTATCACAGAGGGTATGATGTTATTACAGTGAGTAGTACAGCGGGTATGATGTTGAACTTTTGAAGTGATAAAAATATGTATTTCCTTTCAGGTTGTCGGCCCATAGGTTCATACCAATATACGTGTCCCCAGTATGATATTTCTACAAGTGTGTTGGCCCGTATATGTCCCTGAAGTATGATTACATGTAATAGTTTACATCTTACTACAAATGAACGTGTCCCCAGTATGATATTCCCACGAGTGTGTTGGCCCCCATATGTCCTTGAAGTATGATTACATGTAATAGTTTACATCTTACTACAAATAAACGTGCCCCCCAATATGATATTCCCACGAGTGTGTTGGCCCCCATGTGTCCTTGAAGTATGATTACATGTAATAGTTTACATCTTACTACAAATAAACGTGCCCCCCAATATGATATTCCCACGAGTGTGTTGGCCCCCATATGTCCCTGAAGTATGATTACATTCCACAGGTTACATCTCCCTGCAATTGAACGTTCCCACAATATCATATTCCTACAAGTCTGTTGTCCCCTTGTCCGTATATTCTAGTTAATTATTTCTCTCCCACCGACTTAGTTTGGCTTCGTGCATTTTTTCACGTAATAGTTACCTGTGAAATGTCATCATTCATCTTAATATATCTATTAATAACAGGTGCCAGGTGACCTTGAACTTCTCCAATATTTACATTTTGTATTACTAAAATAACTGCGAAAAAAATACATACATAGATAAGTGCATACAACGATTTATCAAGCCGTAAGTTACGTTACGATCCGATTGGCTGTACGTCTTGTTCTGTATTATGACAAGGTACAGACACACAGGTAGGTGCTTTCCCTGAACTTTTAGATCCCGGACGAATTTCACCAGGTATGTCAGCCTGTCACGTTCTCAGGTAAATCGAGATAAAAAAAACCCTCTACCCCTGTACACAATGACTCCCGGGTGCATGTTCATACCAGCTTTACGTTCCGATACTAAATCCTATCTCAAACAATCAACAGGAAATTATATACACGACATTTTGCAATTTCTGCTTATTTTGATACAGCAGTTTTTAACATCTATTTCTAGACCTGTGATTGACACGGAAGACGTATTTCCATTTGTAGAATTATCCTGTCAGTGTATTTCTACAGTCTTGTCGTTTTCTCACAAATAATTATTGAACTTCCTCGATGGCAAAGATATTTTTTGTGCTGTGTTATCATTCTACTCTTAAATCGCAAATAACATAATGTTTGTTATTCTATAAATAACCCAGTCTCCTTTATGTTTCAATAAATGTTCATTAACGTCTATTTCTAGGATTAAAACCACGTTAATTTGACCCAAATTCAAAAAATAGCACCAATGAGGAAACAACATTGAAAATTTCCAATATTGTTTTGAAAAACCAATTCATTCATTAAGTAAAATGGCTGACGTTCTAATGATGATCCGAACACGGACAGTCAGTGCCCTGGTGGTCAGTGCCCTGGTGGTCAGTTAATGTCATTCGAAGTTGATGATTAGTATCGATTATTTATCTATTTCTTCATTTATTTCAGTGCCTTTGTTAAGATTCGAACCCGGTACCCCTGATTTACTTATTTAACACCTCAACCCATCCGAGTGGTATTTTTCAGTCGTTGTTTTACCAGGATAACACATGTATCTCAGAAAGATGGTGGCGCCAGTCTCGATGAAATTTTTCTTTTTTTTTTTTTTTTACTTTTTAACATTTTTTCTCACACCTGAGTCACATACATCAGATTCTATTCCAACTCACTCTACAGTCGCAGACATCAAATCTATTTCTCTCCACTCTTTAGTCACAAGCATTAGAATCTATTTCTCCTCACCATACAGTCATATACAAATGTATATCAGTTTCTATTTCTCCTTACCATACAGTCACATACAAATGTTTATCAGATTCTATTTCTCCTCACCATACAGTCACATACAAATGTATATCAGATTCTATTTCTCCTCACCATACAGTCACATACAAATGTATATCAGATTCTATTTCTCCTCACCATACAGTCACATACAAATGTTTATCAGATTCTATTTCTCCTCACCATACAGTCACATACAAATGTATATCAGATTCTATTTCTCCTCACCATACAGTCACATACAAATGTATATCAGATTATATTTCTCCTCACCATACAGTCACATACAAATGTATGTCAGATTCTATTTCTCCTCACTCCACAATCACATACTTTTGGTTCTATATCGACTCACTCCACAGTCACAGACATCAGATCCTGTTTCTCTCCACTCCTTTGCCACATTCTTCAGATAATACTCATGCCGCTATCATATTTAGCCTCCAAAAACGTTTAGTCTGATTTACATACATGCATGTATTTTTTTTGATTTTGGAATGCTTTCTTTTATCAATCTTTTTTTAAACCTGAATAAAACTTTTCATGCACAATATTATAGAGTTCTTACTTCTAAGTACACTTAAAAAGTGGTTTTAAAAGAATAGTTGAATTACACCTGTCAATAACTAGGATGTGTACTGTACGTCATTACAATACAATAGCTAATTTTTCTCTGTTTGATGAGTAAATATAATTTTGTGATATCCTGTATCTTTTTTCCATTATATACATTTTGGGAGGTCGCGATCCAGAGCAGCTGGGCTTGGAATTCTCATTACAATTGTATAGGCTAATAATTCGTCTGACAGGTCTTTTTTTTCCCTTTTTCTATGTCAATTCTGTAATTCACGAAATCATATAAGATTATATATTATGTCGTGCATGAAATATCTGTATTGATTCTCGTTTCTGTGTCAGATATATTATGCAGAATGAGAGTTCATGGCTAGAACTAAAGTCTTCTGAATATTTACTCAATGGCGAAAGAAATATACTGCTTGACGATGTCGAGAAATGTAGTGAGAGGTGGAACCATTCCTTACCCCTGGTGATGGTCCTTATCAACATCATTATTGGTCATGTAGAACAATCAACCCTGCTCCTAATGCGTAATGTTATTTTTAAAAAAATTGGAAGCGAGGTATATCATGATCATCGACAGCTAATTACTGTACAGAGACGGTGTTTTACCCGATAGATTGGTAACCCAGATCTATTGTAATCACGGACAGCTAATTACTGTACAGAGACGGTGTTTTACCCGATAGATTGGTACCCAGATCTATTGTAATCACGGACAGCTAATTACTGTACAGAGACGGCGTTTTACCCGATAGATTGGTACCCCAGATCTATTGTAATCACGGACAGCTAATTACTGTACAGAGACGGTGTTTTACCCGATAGATTGGTAACCCAGATCTATTGTAATCACGGACAGCTATTTACTGTACAGAGACGGCGTTTTACCCCAGATCTATTGTAATCACGGTACCCGGCGTTTTACCCGATCTATTGTAATCACGGACAGCTAATTACTGTACAGAGACGGCGTTTTACCCGATAGATTGGTAACCCAGATCTATTGTAATCACGGACAGCTAATTACTGTACAGAGACGGTGTTTTACCCGATAGATTGGTAACCCAGATCTATTGTAATCACGGACAGCTAATTACTGTACAGAGACGGTGTTTTACCCGATAGATTGGTAACCCAGATCTATTGTAATCACGGACAGCTAATTACTGTACAGAGACGGTGTTTTACCCGATAGATTGGTAACCCAGATCTATTGTAATCACGGACAGCTAATTACTGTACAGAGACGGTGTTTTACCCGATAGATTGGTAACCCAGATCTATTGTAATCACGGACAGCTAATTACTGTACAGAGACGGCGTTTTACCCGATAGATTGGTACCCCAGATCTATTGTAATCACGGACAGCTAATTACTGTACAGAGACGGCGTTTTACCCAATAGATAGGTAACCCAGATCTAAATCACGGACAGCTAATTACTGTACAGAGACGGCGTTTTACCTGGGATGGATTTCACAAATTTATTTCCGGGGTCGATTGTCGTTTTCAGCTTCGAGGCTAAATAAACTTCAATTTCTGACAATACGGAACTCCATATCTTAGCAAATCTAATCGATCTAACCGACTTTGAATCTTAAGTATAATAGCAATAAAATAACTGATTGTCCAATTATCCCGAGTAAGACCAACATTACATACAACCTTGGTAAAATAACAGCTGATTTTAATGTTTCTTTTCCATATAACAACCATAACAGTACGTATAAATTTATTAACATTCAATAAAATCCAATTCAGATTGGTTTAAAATGTATATTATGAGAGACAATAGTGTCGAAACCGCACGCAAAATCAATGGCTTAAGCTTCGTGACGTTATGTTCCCTATTATCTGTTATACTGAAGCCAGACTAGTCTCTCTTAGTCCTACTTGGCCTTCTTGTTTGACCGTCCTGGCTGTGGGACCATCAGCTTGACTAGGGCCTGTGGATAATAACCATGCTGTTTTTGACTAAGTTTTGTCTCCCGTGTCCAGCCATATGCAAAACCTTCCTCGTTTGCGCCTACTTTCTGTTTGATCACTTGATCTAGAAAGAAAAAAACATTAAGAAATGACACTCACATACATTACCATTAAATTCGAATATGGCTTGAAGAGGACAAATGGTGCCAAAGGAATGATATAGCATTAGTCCAACGACTGAACTACAACATATGAGTCGCCCTAGAAACAACGTCATCATGCACAAACCATTGTGGACTTAGAAAATTGAAGACTTATCCAAAACGGGTGAAAAAAGACTGGTGTTATACCAAGAGAACAGAGGTTTTCGGTAGATTGAGGTCTGGAAGTTCACTTATATTAGGAAATTATTGTTACAATTGACCTTGGTGATATGGACAGATGAACAAATACTGCAGTTCCGATTTAGTAGAGCAGGATATATATTTTTTGCGAACATAAATATAATTCTAATGTTACAATCAATTGTGTGTAAAGGTTGTTGACATTTTGCGGGTTTCAAATTGGAGAGCTATATAGATACACCATATTAGGCTATTCAGTGAATAAGTCACTCAATGCCATTGACATTTCAGCGTATCAGCTCCGATTGTTATGTCAGGTCCGTGGGAAAACGGGTATTAAATATTCCGTGCCTGTTTGAAAATGGTTAGCTGACACAATGTCTACCAAAGTAAGCTTGATGATGGCTGACTGACACAGTGTCTACCAAAGTAAGCTTGATGATGCCTGACAGACATAATGTGTAGCACAGTAAGCTTCATGATGGCTGACTGACACAGTGTCTACCAAAGTGAGCTTGATGATGGCTGACTGACACAATGTCTACCAAAGTAAACTTGATGATGGCTGACTGAAACAATGTCTACCAAAGTAAACTTGATGATGGCTGACTGACACAATGTCTCCCAAAATAAACTTGATGATGGCTGACTGACACAATGTCTACCAAAGTAAACTTGATGATGGCTGACTGACACAATGTCTACCAAAGTAAACTTGATGATGGCTGACTGACACAATGTCTACCAAAGTAAACTTGATGATGGCTGACTGACACAATGTCTACCAAAGTAAACTTGATGATGGCTGACTGATACAATGTCTACCAAAGTAAGCTTGATGATGGCTGACTGATACAATGTCTACCAAAGTGAGCTTGATTGATGACAGGCTGACAAAATGTTTAAGATAATGTTAATGCATTTTGTAATCAAGGAATATTACATGTATTTTTATCGGATAATAAAAGCACTGTTCTGTCAACCACCTGATTAACGGGAGACCACTCTGTGAAGAACAAGAGAAAAATGCTTACTTTGTTTAAAGGAAAGTTGATCCGTTGTGCGCGCGCTGTACGGATGGAGAGCTACAACTCGGACCCCACGCATCAGAGCTATGTTATCAGTCTCCTCCTCTTCTTCCTTCTCATCTTCCTCCTCCTCTGACTCACTATCCAACGGTTTAGCATATAGACGGACGTTGCTGGCATCTACGACAACAGAAACATAGATATCAGCACCCCTACCCTACAGGCACAAGTTCTACAAGCGAGTGGAGTGTGTAACACCGTTAGAAATGATTATGAAGACCAGGAGAGAATAAATTTTATTTAATCTAAAAACAGAAACGCCATTTGCAGTTTTAGAAGTATAGATTTGAATAATGCATTGATAAAATTTATAAGCTTTTCAGAACAACTCTTAATTTACTCTTACAATGAACACGTGGCGCTACACAAAACCTACAGTTATATGATCTATCATCGCTACTCTTTGCACACATACCAAATTCGAACCTAGTAGCAGGATTTTCGATGATCGGTTCGTCAGCAAAATCATCCTCTCTGTCCTCGTCGTCATCAGAGAGACTGGGACAGAAGAGACGAGGCGGGAAGGGAGCAGGAGGTCGGTAAGCTGGGATATCTTCCTCGGGCAGATAGATTGTCTCTATATCATCTGACCGCACTTTGCAAAACAACAACAGTAAGGTATTTTTTTACTTTGAAATTTAGTGCTTTACCTTCTGGTTAATATGTAAACATCAAGTGCTAATCCGGTGGTAATGGAGTATTTTTGCGTAAGGGAACAATATAACCATAAAATATTTGAATATCAAAAAAAAAAAGATTACTGATATTAAATAAACTCAACAAAGTGACTAGCACCTTTCAATGTAAAATAAAGTGAGACAAAGTAGACACAAATATTTAATTCGACTGCGTCATAAAGCTGTTTCGTCCTTCCAGGACTCGTCAGTGATGATATATCACACAGCTGTTTCGTCCTTCCAGGACTCGTCAGTGATGATATATCACACAGCTGTTTCGTCCTTCCAGGACTCGTCAGTGATGATATATCACACAGCTGTTTCATCCTCCTAGAACTCGTCTGTGATGATATATCACACAGCTGTTTCGTCCTTCTGGGACTCGTCAGTGATGATATATCATACAGCCACATACGTCATTCTTCTTTCACATTGAAATACAAGACCCTAAAGTATGACATAGGGACGTTAAGTGTTAACTGTTAACCGGGAGACACCATGGTCAGTGTTCACGATTTACCTAGATTTTATCTTATCTTCTTTTCCGTGTGAATGAAGTATTCTTAAAATTCTGCTACTCAAACGGCTTCAAAATAGCATTAGTAATAAGAAGACCAGCCCGCATAACGCCTTACTAGTAATTACATGTGACCGAGTTATGTAAAAAGTGCCTTGTAACAGACCCTTTATAGAATTGTATAGTACCATGGGCCTGGGTAATTGTACATTCAGCGAGCAGATAATAACAAACCTTTCGTAAACGCCTGATTAACAGTGAATACAGACAGCACCGGATTACCTCAATGTTGTCAATCGAAATATCTCTCGCTAACGCGGAATGCGGAGGGGGGAAAGGGGGGGAGTTCTAAGGTCACACAAACGCAGGTGTTGGGATTATATAATAAAACACATCCTGCTAAATACGTATGGCTTCAGAAATGAATGTATTTCATCAAGGGTGTAACTAAGGCAATAACGTGCCGTCCAAAGCGCATCTATGGCGCCGTCGTCTAATGTGTAACTAAGGGACCAACCTCATCTAATGTGTAACTAGGGTATCAACCTCGTCAAACGCGTAGCTAAGGCACCTACCTCGACAAACTCGTAATTAAGGCAGAAACCTCATTTAATGTGTAACTAAGGCACCAACTTCATTTCATGTTTAACTTGGGCATCAACCTCGTCAAATGCGTAGCTAAGGCATCAACGTCGTCAAACGTGTAACTAAGGGACCAACCTCGTCAAACGTGTAACTAAGGCATCAACGTCGTCAAACGTGTAACTAAGGGACCAACCTCGTCAAACGTGTAACTAAGGGACCAACCTCGTCAAACGTGTAACTAAGGGACCAACCTCGTCAAACGTGTAACTAAGGAACCAACCTCGTCAAACGTGTAACTAAGGGACCAACCTCGTCAAACGTGTAACTAAGACAACAAACTTGTCAAACCTTTCTTTGTTTGTAACTAAGGCACAATCGTGTCGTCACACATGTAACTAAGGCACTTAACTCTCGACAAACATCAACCAGATCTCAAATACGTTGTTTAAGAACTTAGAACTTAGGAAACCGGTAAATAAATAAATCGGCAAAGACATACCTAAATATTCAAAACCGCTCTTCGTTTGAAAGCGAGTCCTGCTAGTTTAACACGTTATGTATCCAGCCAAGTGATATGACTCATGACTTATTAGGAGAAATGTTGCATAAAAAGTTCAGCTCAAAATCAATAAAACCAACACTGGATATGAACAAAGGCAAATATACACCGAAATGTCCGAAAATACAAAGAAAATAAAAAAACAAGAGATCCCAGAAGGAACTTGGCCACCTCCATTGTTTCATATTTTTCATCTTTAAAAGTTGGATCTTTTCCCTTCTTTTCTCTTCTCTTCCCTGTTTTTGCTCTTAATGATAAGACATTTGAACACTCCTCTATAGAAATAGGGATCATAATTTTCGCCTGGCAAATACAAAATGGCGGCATATAAGCCATTCTGTTTTCTGATCAGTCTCAAAATTACATGGGCACAGCTAGCGATCAAAAGAAACTTATACATGAAATTCGAGAAATATCTTCACGATAGTTCTCAAGAAAATTCGACAATAAACTTGCAAAGTCAAAGTCAAAGATGGTCGTTGTTTTTTTATCAGTACTAAAATCAAACATGCATAAATTTTGACAAAGGGAAACCTTCAAATGAAATTTAAGAAAGATACATTCAGTACTTCTCAAGAAATAACAAACTTTCAAAATCAAAATCCAAGATGGCCACCTTTTAGTTATTTTGTTTCTCTAATCAGTCTCAAAATTACATGGACACAAGTAGAGACCAAGAGAAACCGACGTATGAAATTTGAGAGAGATCCATCTTGTAATATTCAAGAAAAAGCGTTAACAATCTTCATTGAAAAATCCAAGATGGCCGCCTGTAGGTCATATTAGTTTTTTCATCTTTCCCAAAATAAAACAGGCACAACTAGAGATCAAGTTAAACCTACACATGCAATTTGAGAAAGACCCATTCAGTACTACTCAAGAAATAGCGAGAACAAAAAGTGTTTACGGACGGGCGGACGGATCACTGACCATGGACGCAGGATGACTTGAATAGCCTATATTCTGATGATGTTGGACTAAAAGAGAGATAATGTGTAAAAGCGGGAGCTAGTTCCGTTAAGAGATGCGTATTACTATTATACAAGGAGACATCCAGTATTCCATATTTGGTTCTGCCTTTTTTTTTTTTTTTTTTAGAGACCGTGATTCACATCAACAATAGCTGCTGTAGCCCATTGTCCATGCTAGCTGTACATTCAAAAGTACGCGTAGTTTGAATGAAATATTGCTGTCGGACTGACGAATGGACGGACGGACTGGCTACCAAAACCATAACACGGCAAAGGATTGCATTCCCCTGGTGTAATACAAAGGTTCGATGAATCTAATATCATGATATTTCATCTGCTTTATCGCCTCAAATAAGCTTTGAAGAAAGACAAACTCGATTATTTGGAAGATGCCAGATACATGTAGAAAACTATTTATCTTATATCTGCGAAGTTTACTGTGCGTGATGCAATTTTCCAGACGTTTCAGAACCTACCTGAAGTATCCGAGATTTCCGGTCTTGTGAAAAGGATAACTCTTTCTGGTTCCTCTTCTCGACAACTCTGGCGCTGCCTTTTCAGTGCCGTTACCTTAGTTACCGACTCGTCAGAAGAAGAATCGGGAGGCGGTTCGAACACGTGAACACTTGTACTAGTTACCGGAGATTTGTTGGGGGACTTCACTCTTCTCTCACGATCTGGATCACGCTGTTTCCCGCCAATTGGTCTTATGCTGCAAGGCAAAGAGTCGTATGTACAAGAATATATAAGCTGGAAGCTTTGTTTCTTTTAATGATTAAGAATTCATATATTTTGAATTTTTTTGTTTTAAATCCGAACAGCCGTTACCTCTTCCGTTCATTCAGCTCTCTTGGAAGATACGACGCCTCCCCAGCGGGGGGTAAGACAAGGCGGGGAGACCTGGAGGGGGACCGTGCAAGAAGAGACCCAACGGGAGGTCGGGGAGAGGCAGGTGTGGCACTGGATGATACGAGGTCCTGATAAAACATATGACAAAAAGATAGCATTACGTTAAACTGCACGTCTCATGTACACGCTAATGGATCCGCGACATCACTGTCAGGGATCATGTGTTAGTATTCATTTGCTTATTACGATTTTCACTTTGTAATTGTTTATCCCTTGGGTTGTCGCTGTTACCGAGATGTCTTGTAATGACACATGCTAGAAAATACATTATGACATCATCAACGTCAAGCTTCAAATTATTTTGAGGATTTACCGGAATGCTACACTGGGTTATCAATCTTTTCTGATCCATGAAGAGTTTTGAAGATTTTTTTTTAAAGTACAAACGTACAAGAACACTATGTTGTTGCAAGAATGAAAAAACTGATAAATTTTATTATGAAATCCATAGATAAACTGACCTGGAGAGAAAAGACCACCCCTACTTTACGAGCCTTCGCTGCTCGTTCCATCTTCTGCCATGAGGCATCGGCAACACTAAGCACATCTACATTAGACAGTGCTTTCACCATATCGTTCATGGCATGCCGTCTGGTGGCGCTGTAACTCAGTGAGGTATTTTAGTAGATGAATAAATAGGATGATAACCACATTAAATTTACCGTGATTACAACTATAGGATAACGTTAAATCGCGGTCTGTTTAGCTCAAGGTAAGGACCCCGTTCAGCCCTAGGTAAGAACCCCGTTCACCCCAAAGTAAAGACTCTGTTCAGCCCCAGGTAAGGACCCTGTTCACCCCTAGGTAAGGACTCTGTTCAGCCCTAGGTAAGGACTCTGTTCGGCCCCAGGTAAGGACCCTGTTCAGCCCTAAGTAAGGACCCCGTTCTGCCCGATACCAGAGCCCGGTTCAGCCCTAGGTATGGACCCTGTTCAGCCCTAGGTAAAGAAACTGTTCATCCCGAGGTAAGAACTCCGTTTAGCCCGAGGCAAGGACCCCGTTCAGCCCGAGGTAGGGACCCCGTTTAGCCTTAGGTAAGGACCCCATGCAGAGCGAGGTAAGAACCCAATTCAGCCCGAGGTAATGACCCTGTTCAGCACGAGGTAAGAACCCTGTTCTGCCCTAGGTAATAACCCTGTTCAGCCCTAGGTTATAACCCTGTTCAGCCCTAGATAAGGACCCTGTTCAGCCCTTGGCAAGAACCCAATTCAGCCCTAGACGAGCATCCAATTCAGCCCTAGGTAAGGACCCCGTTCAGCCCTAGGTAAGAACCCAATTCAGCCTTAGGTAGGAACCCAATTCAACCCGAGGCAAGAACCCAATTTAGCCCTAGGAAGAACTCAATTCAGCCCGAGGTAAGGACCCTGTTCAGCCCTAGATAAGGCCTAGATAAGAACCCTGTTCAGCCCTAGGTGAGGACCCCGTTCAGACCTAGGTAAGGCCCTCATGCAGCCATAGGCAAGAACCCAATTCAGCCCTAGGTAAGAACCCAATTCAGCCCTAGGTAAGAACTAAATTCAGCCCGAGGTAAGGACCCTGTTCAGCTCTAGATAAGGATTCTGTTCAGCCCTTGATAAGGACCCTGTTCAGCCCTTGGTATGGACACTGTTCAGCCCGAGGTAAGGACCACGTTCGGCCCGAGATAAGGACCCTGTTCAGCCCTAGGTAAGGACCCCGTTCAGCCCTAGGTAAGGCCCTTATGCAGCCCTAGGCAAGAACCCAATTCAGCCCGAGGTAAGGACCCTGTGCAGCCCTAGATACGGATTCTGTTCAGTCCTAGATAAGGACCCTGTTCAGCCCTAGGTATGGACCCCGTTCAGCCCAAGGTAAGGAACCCGTTCAGCCCTAGGTAAGGACCTCGTTCAGCCCTAGGTAAGGACCTCGTTCAGCCCTAGGTAATAACCCTGTTCAGCCCTAGGTAAGGACCCCGTTCAGCCCTAGGTAAGGACACCTTATCACAATGTTCTTACCTCTCCTCCGGCATTTCGATATGACGAAGTCTGGTCATGAATTCTATCAACTGACAGAAGATTAGTCGAACTCTGTCTTTTTCCAAAACGCTCAAATCTTTCAACATTTCCAGTAGTGTCTGAAAAATATCCGTTTGAAAAATATTTTACTACCAAATGGTAAAATTCAGTACAATACATAAATTTGTTTTTCTGTCCTAATATCATCTGTCACTATATCATTGACATAATGTCTGATTTTCATTATTTCATTAGTTGGTCTTATTATATTCTATTTATCTGTGTATCTTTATAGATATCTTGACACGAACTGTATGTGACAAGGGAGATAACTCCAACAAAAATATTGAAAAACCAAGACAAATTGTGATGACGTTGTTGTAGTAAATAACAATGGAACCTAAGTTTGTAAAAATATCCGCATCAACACATCATACTGCTTGTCGCGCATGTTCCATTATTCAAATTTTTTACATCACCGACATAGAGTCTTCGAAACTCTAAGAGAGAGGTTAGTAAGCCGTGGAATTTCGAGGAGACTGAGATAAATGATATGAAACGTTGACTATTAGACTGATATAGTGAAATGATTTATTGTTACCACAACTACTGGTATAAACGAGTGCGCACAATATTCGAATTCTACACGATTATTGTATGAAAACCGTGAGAAAATATATTGCATTATCTATTGCCGTCTGTTTATTAAATGTTTTCATTATACAGAGAAATAAATAATGTATTTTAGTGTATCTTGGGAATTACTCAGTTTATCTCACTATTGTTTCAGTTGTCATGGCAACCAGATATTCCCGCGAAATATACATGTATCTACTCCGTCAATTGGCTGCTGTTTTAGCACGCGTTTACAAGCGGCGTTGTACAGTTATCTTTAGAGAAGAAAGATTTCTACAAAGACAGCTTGAACGTAAAATATCAATATATTGGTAGGATGTTACATGGTATTTAACGTTCAATGAAATGTAACCTACACTGGCTTACCTACATATTCAAAATACTTCGCCTGACATGTAGGTAAGCCTCTCACGCGCACCACTAAATATACGTAGGTAAAGGCAATGAATGTTACTCATCAATTAAGAATAAACAAATAGACAACCATTTCATCAATAACAATGAATCCCATAGACTTGTAGACCCAGGGGTACCGGACATATCTCTCATTCCAATTGTATTTGTATAGGTAAATAAACGTAATCTCTGTTGAGGCCGTGATGGTGACGACAATTACACTCTTCGACGGCCTTCATTAGATTTCTCGTCCCTTTCCGATATCTGCAGAAATTTATCACAAAAATTCTGAAATGGAGGAATCCAAATTCATAACTGATCTAGGTCGTTTAAACTTATTTTTTCTCGGTTGGGTGACATGAATTATAGAGAGGTTACATTTTATCAATTGTCGTTATACTTGTGTGATCAAATAGGGCCAGCTCACCATCTTTTTCCCTTGACAGAGTGACTCTAGTTCCCTCTCCGCGACCTCTGACCCCTCGACCTCCATGTCATACTTCCGTTTTTGATCTATCATCTTGTTCATCAGACTGTCAACTCTCCGCCCTTTTGATGACCGCCGAGTGGCCAGGCGACTTCTCGTGATCATCTGAGATTCCAGCAAATCTAGTTTCACCTTACATTCCTGCATTGCCTGAAATGATACAAAGACATTTGTGTGTTCTGTGTTCGCAGTAGACGTTATAAAATGGAGGTCATTATTTATTCAAACCCATGTCCTCTAGTGTACTACGCTCAGACGATTGGTCGAAATATCTTTCTAGCCGAGCACTACGTTACAATTAGTAGTAACCATGGTTACACAAGGACTACATAAGATATGATTAATACTACCCTCTTTCTCTGAGAATTCATCGACTCCAGGTTGACTCTCTTTCTGTTGTCCTTGGCGAAGGTTTCCTCAATCCCAGCAACCCCTTGACTGTGCTGGTGATATATTCCTTCCCTCAGTCCCATATCCCTGTCATTGGAAACAATTCATACAGTGTTAAAGAGTTGTAAAATACATTGATGTATACTTACATAAGTAATTTGCAATAGGACGAATGTTTCATTTTAACAATGAACGACGAAATAAGAGTTCAGGTTTAGACCTGTATCCAAAATATGCGTTAATTTAAAAAAAAAAATGGTGAGCATTTAATTATAAAATATCACCTGTATAAAACGTTATATGGTCCACTGTCCTCTAGGATCTGGTTATACACACGCTGATGGGCGGCAGCCGTTAGTTCCGCCTCTCCCGGTAAAATGTCGGCAATCACTTGGAACACTTCGTCTTCTCGAAACTCTGTTGACGTGGAAACAATTCGTTACCCTCAAAGAAGACAAAGCTAAACAAGTTTTCCAATATCTAATATCAATACCTGAGATACAAGTTAATATGGAAAGGTCGCGAACATCCGACATGGCCAGAGAGGGCATCATTTCACTAATCGACTGGTATTCCAAAATCTTTAGACATCAATACTACATATAGGTCAGTGTTAACAGGAGTAATTCGTTTTACCAATGTATCATAAATAAGTTTTATAACGGAAAATTTAGCGAGGTTTTACAGCCCTGCCTGATTTGGCGAGGTCAGAAGAGATTTGGTAGCGCGTACGTTTGTGTTTCTATTAACCTCTCTGATTTGTTATATAGAGAAAGGTTGTTTCATATGGACCATTGAGATAGCCGGTAACATCTCCGCAATTTGGACCATAGCCATCACTGGGCGAGGAACACACAATAGGGCTGAAATGTATCAATAAGTGTACGTATGTAAACATGCATTATGGCCACGGCCGTGAGACAAACATACCTTTTCCCTCCTTTATAATTTTCTCCGACCAGCCATTGAGATTCTTGATGTACGTCTGCTCAACTCGTGCTCGCTCCCAAACCATTAAGGCAACGTACTCCTGTAGCCTGGAACAATAAAAGTGTGTGTTCTAATCTAGGTATTCCAAGTAATGTCACTTTCTTCAACTGAGAACCTGGTTCAGTTACAACAAGCGACAAGAGGATTTTCTAACTTTCTATACAGATCTTGATGACTACCACCTATCGCAAAAATTCGAAATGTTGGGAACACACTCTTAAATAAAGAATCAACTACAACATGATCGGTTTGGGAATCAGGGAGCATCATGATAGGTTTGGGAATCAGGGAGGTTACTATCAAGAAATGGATTGGTGACGTTTACCACGAAAGAAGATAGAGCTGTATGTATATATGTGGTTGATCTGGGGAAATATCTGTTGAGCCTTTGGTTTTAAGTTCCTGGGGTGTATTTGGTGGACTTGATCAAGAACAACGTTTATATCGATCATACGAAATACGATTAACTGACACCGACAGTAATACATGCATGTCTGAAAGGGATCGTTCAGTTCATAACGTACGAATTTGTAATCACAAGGCACATGTATATACATTGTATACATTGTATGTACCGTAAACATCTTGATAAATGCTTATGTAGTCAACAATAAGAAAATTTGTAGATGGTGTCCACTATGGTCAGTTTTAATCTTTGTGAAAGCCGGTGATAGATTTAACCCATGTCCAGAACAGTAACATCCTACCTTAACATCCGGCATGGGGATATACGAAATCGCAAGCTTGATCTAAGATAATCAAATCTATCACGAGAAGTTGTTTTGTTATGAAATTATATAATTAAATACAATGTACAGTGTTGTAACCAAATTTGCGTGTGTATAAAAGCTTGGTTTGTTGGAAAGCAGTATTGGACAAAAAGGACTTGGCAATATTATAAACAAGAGGTCCATGGGTCTGGTATCGCTCATCTCGATATTTCAGCTTTCACTTCAGATATTTTCATTCACATAAACACTTTTTGTCACATTTTTCCCAAAAGATGAGGAACTTCAAAGATCTTAAATGAATTTCAACCAATGCCTACATCCTAGTAAAATGAGTATTATTTGAAAATTTTGTTTCTATTTGAAATTTATTGTTTATACAAAATTAATTCCCCTTCACCCAAGGATGCTTCATCCTCATACGTCATACGTCCTGTTTGAATGTTATACATCTGTTATACATGTATGTACTGTACAAATTGTATTGGGGGTTGTTATGCTTGAAACAATTAAACAGTTTTACTTTACTGGACTCGTCACCTCATCAGAAGTGATATCAAGCCTTTGGTTTTGGACTCGGAGGTCATTCAATCAAACACTGATCACCCCTAAATTTTATACGACTTTAGAAACCTCATCGATCATACTAACACAACTTGTCACATTTCCCACCCATGTAATAGATTGGGCCTTGTAATTGTAAATACAACAGAGAATGGATGTAATTCCTGGTCTGTCTGACTATGATATTGTGTTTCTTCAAATTTCTAGATTTCGGTCAATAAATTCTTAACTGTAGGGGGATGAATGAACTGACTATTCCGACACAAGACAGTCGGAGAACTTTTCCAACACGTCAAAGAAAAAATATATCAACTTCTGGGTGTCACGGGAAGTAAAAAATTGTTGATGATATAAACCGACAACATCAACAAGCAAAACAAAGCTGTTGATCTGTCAAAGGAAAAAACATGGCAACTTCTGGGTGTCACGGGTAGTAAAAAATTGTTGATGATATAAACCGACAACATCAACAAGCAAAACAAAGCTGTTGATCTGTCAAAGGAAAAAACATGGCAACTTCTGGGTGTCACGGGTAGTAAAAAATGGTTGATGATATAAACCGGCTACATCAACAAGCAAAACAAATCTGGTGTTCTGTCAAAGGAAAAAACATGGCAACTCCTGGGTGTCACGGGAAGTGAAAAATGGTTGATGATATAAACCGACAACATCAACAAGCAAAACAAATCTGGTGTTCTCTCAATGAAAACTTTTAATGACTTCATATCACAAAAAATTATGCCTACTTGAAATATAGAGTATAGAGTCAGTCCAAATTCAGGTCATTCAGGTCATAAACCAGTTAAAAGGCTCTGGACAAATACAGACTGTGTCAATCATCAATGAATCACTACAAGGGTTAAGTGGCACTGAGATAAGGCCAACATATTGAAAAATGATTTTAAATTGTTTTATCGAGCACTGACATATTCGTGACAAAACCCATTTCGTAACAACAGAAGTGGGATATTAGTATGGGATTTATAAATTCCCTGATAACCGTGATTTCACTAAAACTGGTGGAACAGATCACATAGAACCGGCATTACATAAGGAGCTGGCAACAGAAAGAAGTAACACCAGCAAAATTGTCCGTCCTGGACTTCCTGATGGACAATATAAAAGTTCCATGCTTCAATATCAAACAAAATAACTAATAGTCCCTGATCCGCATTCATTTAAATAGGTTGGCCCACCGTGCGACCCTTGCCTTAAAAAAGAAGACAAATAAGTTAGATATGGAGCAGGGCTGTCCGTTTCGATGCCAACCGGCTTTTAACACCCCGAGTGTTGATAACTTGATAGAACATCTGAAATGGCATCGATAAGACCCTACTATATAAAATTCATCACAAAATGTCGCCGTTACTATCTTACGTCTAAAGCCCATTTCCTGAGGGGTCGAAGATAAGTCATCAAACCTCTTTTCAAACCATATGTTTCTGACTGGAAAGACTCATTTTTTCTTCGGACCATCAAAGATTGGTACAACCTCTCTTCTGAAATAATCTCCTCTGGTTTTTTGCTTTCCTTTAAGTCAGCTGCCTCTTCTCATCAATGTTAAAGACTGTTCCCTTGTCTTCTTACACTCTCCAATAAAATCATCTTCCCTATGTTGGTCATTACCTGTATCCGTAACATACAGAAGGCTCGTGGACAAGAGTTTTGTACAGTAAATTAACCGCCCTGACTGGGGTCGGACTGTCCATCCTGGATATCCACATGCGGATACAAAACCCAACGATCTACCCACTACGCTATCGCGGTCCTTTCCCTGGGATAATGTAATGTTCAGGAGCCTAGCTGGATACGTGGTGTATAATATTCATCGTCCTATCACATGTATGTGAAAGAGAAGATGCGTGTTATTACATAAATCTATCCGTTCGAAAGTATACGAATTCCTAAAAATGTCTTAGTGTTAAATCTTACTCGAGTAACTCCTTGAGTAAAAAAAAAGAAATTGATTGAAACTAGGAGAGTTTGACCTACTTTATGGAAGCCTTGTTTTTCTTGATGGCCTCTTCGACGAGAAGGAATGGCAGGGCATCCATTTTTTCCCTTGAGGTATGACCTCGCGTCGACTGTAAACTTTTTCTATGACGTGGAAAGGTGGAGATCACTAACAGGCGGACGGCAAGATATCGGATATTGTCGTTAAGGGGGAAAGTCACATGACGTCATCAACAATAGAACAGTTGTATGACGTCATTACGTGTAAAAACTGTGCATAACAAACTTGAAGTCAAGTAAAAACAAGGGAAATTTAGAAGATAAATTCCGTTAACTCTATCGATGTCAATGTACCAGTGGATTTTAACTATAAAGCGTTTATCATGTATTCATTATGTACGTTCTACACGTATCACTAATAATCGTAATATAAGACCTAAAACTACTGTTAAATAACACTTCCAGAGGTTAGTGGCTACCTCCTAATAACTTCCTGTTGTTTGCAACATCAAAAGCGTCCGATGTCCATGCATGTCTTATTGACATCGATAATGTCTTGCTTTCGTAACAATAATTATAAGGACGTTTTGTTGTCCGTAACAATAATCTAGAGACCGCTTTGTTGTCTGTAACAATAGTCCGGACGCCGCTTTTTTTTTGTCCGTAACAGTAGTCAGGGGGACGTCGCGTTGTCCGTAATCATTTTCAGAGGGGCGTCTTGCTGTCCGTAACAATAGTCATATAAGGACGTCTTGTTGTCCGTAACAATAGTCAGAAGGACGTTTTGTCCGTAACAATAGCCAAGAGGATGTCTTGTTGTCCGTAACAATAGCCAGGAGGTCTTCTTGTCCGTAACAATAGTAATAGTGACGAGCAACGTGTCAGTAACGATTCTATTTTGGTAGCATCCCACTAAGTAATATCGGGTTTTTTTTCAATATTGTTATATTTTCCGTTACAAAATCTAATCGCATTCTATTGACCGTTTGTGAAAAATGTCAATATTTGAAATAGCGAATTGAGTTTTGAAATAAAAGCCACCGATTTTTGTGTAAGAGTTGTAAACAAGTGAATGATGAAAGTGTATTTGTACTTTAATACTAATTTTATACCCCTCTGGTAATCTATATGTCTATGATTGTGTATGTGTCCCAATGTACTCACCCCTGATCATACATCCATCCCTGATTGTGTATCAGGAAAGTTTTGGCTAATTATGAATAATATATTCAAATCAGTTTAGTTAAACATGTCGATGTATTTTTAATATTACTTAATTTACAACTTGGAAATTAAACCTTGGTCAAAATTTTCTATATTTTGCGCATCCTTTTGTTTGACTTCAGTGCACGTTTTGTCCTTATCCAGCATTCCAATTCCTCGGATTGGATGAAACAGAAACACGTTATTTCATTATTCAAGTTATCGCGCCAAACAAATCTGGTGACGATATTTACAGTTATCTCTCTTTTGTGGCCGATTTCCGGTTCAGAAGTTCAAGGGTTATGTTTACAACCGAAGTCAAACTGATACAGGTACATGTCGCCGGCATTGTTAATTGTCTAATGTATCGACTGATGGTGAAGGCTATATTGTAATCTGTTACAAACCGATGTCAAACAACATTATTTCAGCAGCGGTCAGTTTCAGGGGCGAGATCATCCCGCTATCAGCAGCTACACAGTACGATACGCTGGACAATGATAACGGTTTCGAATGACTGAGTAAAGACCGTTAGTCACAAGCTCATTTTATCAGTATCAGGTAAATGTTATACGGATGTAAATTGAGTGACATATAAGTTATGATTAAAATGTAATTGTTTCACAGTACTAACATCAGAGACGTATATATGTGATATATACGTCTCTGCCTACATGTATCATTGTTTCGACTTAAATACTGTTCATCAGTTCATTGATAACTGAGGGATGAGAGACAGATCAGCACTTGGGCGGCAACTGTTGAGTATAGCAGTCCAAATTTCGAATTGACATTCAATTTACTTTTTAATAAAATTTTGTCAGTGTATCGTAGAAGAGCGGAAATATAAGTCTGATTTTAAGGATACAGTTCATTGCAAAGTGTTATATAATATTCATAACTTAGACTGGTCACAGGCCTCTAAGTATATCAAAGTTAATTACATTGTGATGACACCAGAATTACTCAGGCCCCATCCCCTACCCCCTTTAAGTGTGTTATACACAATAGTACACTCTGGCTCATGCAATGAATCAAATTTGATCAACTATAATATAGTCCACTCCCACCTCTATCTAGTGAAAATATATAATTTTCAGTATCACAATACATTGCAACAGCTTATTTTGTTTGAGTAATTTAACTTCAGAACATCAGAAGATTTATTGAAACCCAAATTTAATACATGTTCTTAACCTTAAGAGGTGCTTTGTTACTTCAAAATTATGCAGTTTTCAATACATTGCTGCATTTGATTACGCTAGTGTTCTGTTATGTACACATTGGTTCTACAGGAATTCTTTTATATATATACTAAAATACAGTATATATCATGATTTATCACAATATCACTTTGAATATTATAATGTAGTGAAATAATAAAACTCTTTGCAAACCCCAACCTTAGTACAATCTAATAGTCTTTATATCACAGGGTTATGCTTACACTTTTTCAGGTTAAACGAACCACACATGCAGTAAGAGTTACAAGGGAAGTAATCCATTACAGGATTTCTTCGCACGAACTACAACATGGATAATTTCATCAGAAATTGGGTAAAATATATTTGTATATATTTATAGCTATAGAATAGTGTTGTGTTAAATATCTCTCACATTCCTAGACACAAAATGTACAGGTAGTATTAGAATATATGTTGTGGAACTTGACTGGGTCAGTCACCTGTGACTAACTTGCTATATAGATATATTGGACACAAAAAGTTACTTAGGGATCACCTTTTAAAGATAAATCTATTTGTATGAAAAGGCAAATACTTTTGGATTATGAAATATAGGAATAAGGTCAAACAATAAGAAAATTTTAATTTAAATCACTTTCATTCAAGCGTGTCATGTATGATTACCTACGAAATTAATTACCTTGTAAAACAGCGCTGAAAATTCCAAATGCTTCAGTGAGTTCAGCACCACTATCAATAGTGAGTGTGTCTTCCACTGGCCCCATTAATGGCACGACATTGGCTAGGTATGGTGCCAATCAAGTGCCGTATAGCCGTTTGTGGAATTTGAGGCCATTCTTGACACAGAGCTTTAGCATGCTCCTATCAGTTGACAGGAAAGCGCAGACAATCGGTAATGCATTGCTGTACAATGTCCCATGCAGGCTCTGTTGGATAAAGGTAGGGTGAAAGACTAGGCCAGTCGATACTCATTCCTAACTAACTCTCTAACTCTGCGTGGCTGTGCATTATCTTCCAACAATAGGATGAAGGATTTCATTCTAGTACTGTAAACCTGTAAGGCTACCACCTTTAATCACATACAAGTCAGTCTGACCATCAAAACTGATCCCTGACCAAATAGTTACTTAGCTCCTATAAAAACGGAAGAGAATGCATGTGGAGAGAATACAGCTGGTCTGGGTGAGCATGTAATTCAGAGCTGTTAAGTCTCTACCTCAATGTTTGTACAGAAATTCCTCTTCCAGTTGCTTGACAAATTATATTCAACCTAGGGGAACTTTCTAATTGATTTTGCCAAGTAAGAATGCCTAAATAACAATCTTCACCGGTTGTCGTTCGCTGTGGTCTACCCGATCGAGGTCTCTCGGTGACGTTTCTGGCTGACTGGAATCAACACCATAATCAAAAAAGACACTGTATGATTCATGGAAGTGTACAGCCACAGTTCATTGTGATAGTCACGCTTGCAGGTTCCTGACTGCTCTCTGCAGCTGTCATGTAATGTCTCATGCTAATAAATGTTCAAAACAGGATGCAAAATGACAGGATATTCAGAAAAAAAACCACAAAATCTGTTGATTGATGTGATGTAAATTCCACAAAAAACTTTAAATGAAACCACAGTTGACCCTGTGTTACATGATGTCTTACAGCTCATTTACTGTAGGTTGCACAAACAAAAATTTGTTACCGAAAAGTTATTGTGCATACTTTGGTTATAAAACAGTGATCAAGGAGTTTGCAGCTTACCAGTAATTTATTTTAATGGCAGAAAAAAATCACATATAATTATGATCCTGAACATTTTGTTTCTAGTATATTTCACATTTTTTGCTCCTTTTACATTTGATGCTTGTGGAAAATTTTTTGTGGTGTGTGAATGCTTGACTAATGGATACCTGAACTAGGGTTATAAATAGCTGTGTCTTTGGGGATCAAGTCGTAACAAGATAGCTCAACTGGCAGAGTATCTGTCTAGAGTCCTCAGGGTTCTGGGTTTGAACCACAGTCAGGCTGTATATTTTAATGCTCCTTTTACACATGCAAGGCTACACCTCATGTTAAACATTACTTTTTCTCTTTCATCTTTAAGAAAAACTACCTTATATGCAATATATCTACCATGTTTAGAAGGATTTATTGAAATTATCACACAATGTAAATTCTGATTTGTATTTACTTCTTTACAGATTGGTTTGTTTATTTTGGGATCCATAAACAACCTTCCATATGTTATAGTGGTGTCTGCAGCTAAAACCATTGCTGACAGGTAACTCCATGTAACCCTCCTAGTTGTTTCATCATGAAATAGTTACCTCCCTTAGAACTGAATATAATAATTACCTCCCTTAGATCTGTATATGATAATTACCTCCCTTACATATTTATATGATAATTACCTCCCTTACATCTCTATAATTACCTCCCTTACATATCTTTATGATTATTACCTCCCTTACATCTGTATATGATTTTTACCTCCCTTATGTCATATTAGCATCTTTCCTTTTATATATATTATATAGATATATATATGAAATTGTAATAATTATCTCATTACATCTTTATGCAATATTTATCTCTGTTACATCTGATTGTAATAAACATATGTGTACATCCCCTACATCTGTATTTACTAATTACCTTCCTTTATAGAGTGCAGCAAGTTACCAGACATAGCTGGAAATTATTGGTATGTGGTGTCATGTGTAGAGTTGTCTCCCTTCCTTTATGTGTTACCTTTGAAAAGTTTTCTCTAATCTATATTTCAGTTTTAATGAAAGGAATCAAGTTGGCCTGGTTGTTGGAGCCAATGTGGCCCTGTCTGTTGTTGTAAAATGTGAGTAGATATCAGGTTACTTATGGTATTAAGCCAAATGCAGGTAAATATCTGGTCACTAAGAGTATTGAATCAAATGCGAGTAATATGGTGTCCTTAATGAGGGGTGTTGAGTCCAAAGTGAGTATATGTACGGGCACTGATGGTATTGAATGTGAGTAAATATTGGGTCTAACCAAGGGCATTGAGTCAATAGAAATTTCATGTCAGAACACTCAGGATATTCAACCCAAGTAAGGCATTTTAAGAAATTGTATAAAGGATTCTACTTATATTCTTATCGAAATCGCATGACTTGATTTCCCTAAAAAATCAACTTTCCCTATTTATTTGCAGAAATTCCATTTAGGTCAAGCAAGGTGCAGCTCGGATGATGTTGAACAACTGATCATCAGATATTGTAGTTTCGTTTTTGCAGCCTCGCTGTCAATATGATCACATGATAAACATGCTATATTTGCATATTCTAATTTCATACTGTTCAAGCGATGATTCCAGCAATTCATCTGTCAGAGGTGACCCCTGGAAAGATATTTTAATGCTTACAGTAATTTGAATAATCATAAGAGATACATTTAAAACGAATGGATCAACAAGATATTTTTGCAACTTTGGCAGAGTATCCCTTTAAGTTAAATGTAAAATCAATATGAGGTGTGTTAGGGTATTGAGTCAATGTATGTAACATTAGTACGGTAATATTTCTGTAGCTTAAAAGGAAATTGCTGGACAAGAAAACAAATTAATGAAGATATTTCATTAAGTCAGAACAATTTAAAGATACAATTAATGTATTTTAGTCCAATATATCTTGTTTTAATCGGCAAGCAGACATTTGACACAAATTTTATTTTCGGTTTGCTTCAGAACACTTATTGTCCACCAAGAGTATGTTTTTTTGTCGGTACTGGGTGATACGTTTTATATTTCTGAAAGTTCAGTGTGTTCAGATCTTGTTGTATCCTGTGGTCTAGAAATTGATTTGATATATGAGATGTTTGTCTGATAATCTTCAATAATATGAGTGTTATAACGGAAAAGTCCATGTGATTTAACTGTTGTGATTTGCTGCTTGCTTAGTAGCAATATCTGCTGTGGTGAACACCCATTAATTATATTTCCTGATAAAACACCAGTAGTAATATTGTCTGTATTTTCTGATCTATTTTATACAATTTACCTATGTTTACATATTATCTATCACTTTATGTTTTAATTCAGATTCTTACGTTAACACACAAACCTGTGGCATTGTTTATGTTTTCAGTTGGCAACACATTTTTCTTGCTGAAAACAAGATATTGGATACGTTTTGTCATCAACGCTATCCTCATGCTCATTGGTTTGTATGGGTTTTTTTCTAAATGTACTGCATAATTTTTTACCTTGTATATAGAGAATGAAATTCAAAAATTCAAGTAATTAAGTTTAAAAGTAACATGTTTAAAGATTAATGTCTTTACAAATAACATCCAAGTGAAGCTTTCCCTATTTTATTATTGTCAAGGTCAATCAGATATAGCTGTAGTAGGTCTGTATCAAGGTCAGTCAGATACAATTGTAATGGGTCATTGTCAAGGCCAGTCAGATATAGCTGTAGTAGGTCTGTGTCAAGGTCAGTCAGTTATAGATGTCATGGGTCTGTGGCAAGGTTAGTCAGATATAGTTGTAATGGGTCAGTGTCAAGGTCAATCAGATATAGTTGTAGTAGGTCTGTGTCAAGGTCAGTCAGTTATAGATGTCATGGGTCTGTGTCAAGGTCAGTCAGATATAGTTGTAATTGGTCAGTGTCAAGGCCAGTCAGATATAGTTGTAATGGGTCAGTGTCAAGTTCAGTCAGGTCTGTATCAAGGTCAGTCAGATACAGTTGTAATGGGTCAGTGTCAAGGTCAGTCAGATATAGCTGTAATGGGTCAGTGTCAAGGTCAGTCAGATATTGTTGTAATGGGTCAGTGTCAAAGTCAGTCAGATATAGCTGTAATGGGTCAGTGTCAAGGTCAGTCAGATATAGCTGTAATGGGTCAGTGTCAAGGTCAGTCAGATACAGTTGTAATGGGTCAGTGTCAAGGTCAGTCAGATACAGTTGTAATGGGTCAGTGTCAAGGTCAGTCAGATATAGCTGTAATGGGTCAGTGTCAAGGTCAGTAATATAGAGTAGTCTGGGGTCTGTGTTAAGGTCAACCAGATGTAGTTGTCATGGGTCTTAATCAAGGTCAGATATAGTTTTTATTGGTGAGTGTCAATGTAAGGCAGATAAATTTGTCATTGATCTGTTAACTGGAAAGATATTTGTACATTATGTAGTTGTCAGCCTGTGGATAGTTGTCAGATGGTGGGCTATTCAAATCTCTCTGCATCTGTGATCTGTGGTCTTTCTGTTCGTCATTTGTCATCACTGTTTCCTGATAAGTACTAGATGGAGCTTTCTCATATTTCATAAGTGGGTTGTCCTTGGTCTCTAGTTGTGCCCATGTTATTTTGGATTTGTTATCACTATTTCTTGAGAGTTACAGCATATATCTTTCTCAAGTTTTATATGTAAGTCCCCTTGGACCCTAGTTGTGCCCATTTGATTTTGGGTCTGATGAGAAAAGCAAAATGGTAGAAAGATGGCCATCTTGGATTTTGACTTTGAAAATTTGTTATCACTTAAGAAGTACTGTACAGATCTTTCTCAAATTTCATGTAAAGGTTCCTCTTGGTCCCTAATTGTGCCTGTTTGAGGAAAACAAAATGGTCGACAGGTGGCCATCTTTGATTTTACCTAGTAAAGATTGTTATATCTATTTCTTAAGAAGTGCTGAATGGATATCTCTCAAATCTCACACATTTGGTCTCTTCTTGTGTCCATTTGATTTTGGTACTGAACAGAAGAAACAAAATGGCTTCGAGATGGCCATTTTGGATCTGGCTGGTCAAGATTATCATTGCAATTTCTGCAAAGGAATGTTCAAATTTCTTATCATTAAAAGCAAGAACAGAGAAGAGAAAAGAAGGGAAAAGATCCAACTTTCAAAGAGCATATCAAGATCAAACAATGGTGGGCACCAAGATCTCTCTGGTATCTCTTGTTAAATAGTATTTTCTCAATAATCAAGAGGCATAAATTGATGAAATTTTTCCATACTGTGATCTATTGCTATGGAACGTATTTATAAAACCTTGTCTGAAAATTTAAAGTTCTGGTTCTTGTTAGGGGTCAAAGTTGAAAATTGTTATTTTGGATAACAAATTTGAACAGTTCTGCAAGGTCTAGAGCCTTGATGTCCTGGTCATCAGTTTTCAGGTTTGAAAATATGAATGACCTTGACCCTCTTTCAAATTAACAAGGGTCAGTTTTGTTAAAATCTTTAAAAAACATCTTTTCAGTAATTCAGAGGTACATAGTTGATTCTGTGTGATCATTTGCATACTGCGTTTGATTGCTGTTGAGAGTAGTAGGAAAATATTTTGTCAAATATCAACTTCCAGTTTCAAGAAGTGGTCACACTAAGAAAGTCCTTCTTTCGGGAAACGAAAATGAATAATCTGAAGTTGTAAAATGTAGAGTCTATGTAATGTATAGATTAACTGAATGGTTAGCAGATATGTTTGTGGACATCATTGACCTTTTTGTAAGGAGCCCATCAAATTGTAACAAAATTATATCTGGATCTTTGCTAAGGGTGTTGACTTGTCCCTATTCTGTTAACAACCTCACACAAATCAAGGTCCATTAGACACATCATGCATACTTTACATTTGTTGCAGGTCTGTTTGGTGTGGCGTATGCGTTCAGTTTTTGGTTTGCTTTGGTCTGTATTGTAAGTATTGTCACCAGTAGTAGTACTATAAACTTTCGTCAATAATCATCTATTAGCCATAGAGATAGACAACGTCTCATCAGCTTTAGGATGACACTTTGTAATAATAAGTTATGAGTATAACAATGGTACTTTGATCCTAGGATGATGATGATGATGATGATGATGATGATGATGATGATGATGATGATGATGATATACAGAAAGATGGTCACATGTGGCACAAGTGTCTTATCAGTATATTAATGGCTTAATTAAGAAATATACTGAATTATACTCTTATATATCTAGAAAATAAACTCTATCCCACACTTATCTATAAGTCATTTCTAAATTTATATCAACCACAATAGAATTGTGTATTTGTGCGATAGAACTGTGAAGCATGTGCATAAATGAGCAATAGCTTATTTGATAAAGTTTTCCTGTTGTGCACACATCATGTATACATCATTTGCACATCAGATAATGTTGTGTGTATAGAGTGACTTGTTGAAGGGAAATAACTATTACAAATATATTTACTTTCAGGTGTTTGTTGGAGCTAGTTCAGCTTTTGGAGAAAAGTGAGTGACTCAGCGCTATCTTAAACATTTCATTGTCATGTTGGAAGTTTTGTCCTATAAAAGTTTTAAGTTTAAGGTGTTTTGATGTTGGACTTGTTACCATAAAACCTAGGAAACCAATATAGCCATCAAGAAATCATTCCAATATATTTGACATATCACAAGATGGCTTCACAATGTCAAGGTCAGGTCACAATACAAAGGTCGTCTCACGATGTCAAGGTCATGTTACACTACTAAGGTCGCCTAATAATGTCAATGTCATGTTATACCACTAAGGTCACCTAACAATTTTAAGGTCTTGTCATACTACCAAGGTCGTCTCACAATGTCAAGGTCATGTTACACTGCTAAGATCACCTCACCATGAGAAGTTCATGTCACACAACCAATGTTGTCTCAAAGTGTCAAGGTCATGGCACACTACCAAAGTCACTTCTCATTGTAAGGTTCATGTCACACTACCAAGGTCGTCTAACAATGTCAGGTTCATGACACACTACCAAGGTAGCCTAACAATGTCAGGTTCATGCCACACTACCAAGGTAGTCTCAGAATATCAGGTTCATGCCACACTACCAAGGTAGTCTCAGAATATCAGGTTCATGCCACACTACCAAGGTAGTCTCAGAATATCAGGTTCATGCCATGCTACCAAGGTAGTCTCAGAATATCAGGTTCATGCCACACTACCAAGGTCGCCTAACAATGTCAGGTTCATGCCACACTACCAAGGTAGTCTCAGAATATCAGGTTCATGCCATGCTACCAAGGTAGTCTCAGAATATCAGAGTAATATCAAGGTCCCATTGATCTATCAGTTGACATCAACAACAATGTGTATTTGTTTACAGCGTTGCCCTAGGGTTTCTGCGTCTTTTCCCAAGTACGTTAGTGAATGCCTGGTCCAGTGGTACAGGGATGGCAGGGGTTCTAGGAGCTGGTATCTACATCATATTTGGTAAGTCAGTGGTAATGTGATTATATTCTGACTGGTTAAGATAGAAATTGTTCAATATGCATTTCCAACCTTATGACTTCTGTAGACACATGTGAATAACTCCTGTTTAAACATGTAAATGAGTCCGGTAGACACAGGTGAATGTCTCCTTTATAAACATGTAAATGACTCCTGTAGACACAGGTGAATGTCCTTTATAAACATGTAAATGACTCCTGTAGACATAGGTGAATGTCTCCTGTATAAACATGTAAATGGCCCCTGTAGACACATGTAAATAACTCCTGTTTAAACATGTAAATGACTCCTGTAGACATAGGTGAATGTCTCCTGTATAAACATGTAAATGACCCCTGTAGACACATGTGAATGACTCCTGTAAACACGTGTGAATGACTCCTGTAGACATATGTGAATGAGTCCTGTAGACATGTGTGAATGAGTCCTGTAGACATATGTGAATGACTCCTGTAGACACATTTGAAAGACTCCTATATAAACATGTAAATGAGTCCTGTACACACATGTAAATGAGTCCTGTATACACATGTGAATGAGTCCTGTAGACACATGTAAATGAGTCCTGTACACACATGTAAATGAGTCCTATACACATATGTAAATGAGTCCTGTAGAAACATGTGAACGTCTCCTGTAGACACGTGTGAATGACTATTGTACACACAAGTGAATGAGTCCTATAGACACATGTGCACGAGTCCTGTAGACATGTGTGAATGAGTCCTGTAGACATATGTGAATGACTCCTGTAGACACATTTGAAAGACTCCTATATAAACATGTAAATGAGTCCTGTACACACATGTAAATGAGTCCTCTAGACACGTGTGAATGAGTCCTGTAGACACATGTAAATGAGTCCTGTACACACATGTAAATGAGTCCTATACACATATGTAAATGAGTCCTGTAGAAACATGTGAACGTCACCTGTAGACACGTGTGAATGACTATTGTACACACAAGTGAATGAGTCCTATAGACACATGTGCATGAGTCCTGTAGACATGTTTGAATGAGTCGTGTAGACACATGTGAATGTTTCCTGTAGACATGTGTGAATATCATCTGTAGACACATGTGAATGAGTCCTGTAGACACATGTGAATGAGTCCTGTAGACATATGTTAATGACTCCTGTAGACACTTGTGAATGTCTCCTGTAGACATATGTAATGTCTCCTGTAGAAATGTGTGGATGTCTCCTGTAGACATGTGTGAATGACTCCTGTAGATACATGTGAATGAGTCCTGTAGAAATGTGTGGATGAATTACTCACTGCTGTCTATCCAATAAAGGTTGTGTGGTTGGGGCAGGTGGTCAGAACACAGCACAACTCAAAGACTTAACAAAGTAAGTATACAGTAATTGTTGTTAATATCTTTGATCTCAGAAATCTCAGAAGGAGTGCTTTGTTTAAGGTTCCTGTTTATGACATGTTTGTAGCTCTGTATAATGATCACTGTGACATATACAAAGGTATGAGTTTCTCCTGATGACCCCTTTAGTAGCTCTGTATAATGGTTACTGTGACTTATATACAGGTATGCGTTTCTCCTAACGACTCCTTTGGTAGCTCTGTATAATGATCACTGTGACTTATCCACAGGTATGCGTTTCTCCTAACGACCCCTTTCGTAGCTCTGTATAATGATCACTGTGACTTCTACACAGGTATGCGTTTCTCCTAACGACTCCTTTGGTAGCTCTGTATAATGATCACTGTGACTTATCCACAGGTATGTGTTTCTCCTGACGACCCCTTTCGTAGCTCTGTATAATGATCACTGTGACTTATCCACAGGTATGCGTTTCTCCTGACGACCCCTTTCGTAGCTCTGTATAATGATCACTGTGACTTCTACACAGGTATGCGTTTCTCCTGACGACTCCTTTCGTAGCTCTGTATAATGATCACTGTGACTTATCCACAGGTATGCGTTTCTCCTAACGACCCCTTTCGTAGCTCTGCATAATGATCACTGTGACTTATCCACAGGTATGCGTTTCTCCTGACGACCCCTTTCGTAGCTCTGTATCTGATTAGTTACTTCTTCATCATCAAACCTCCTCAATCAGAGGACATTGAGACCAATGTCCAGAGGTCAGTAAGGTCAGGGAATGTCCAGGAAGGACGGGCGGAAGAGAAGGAGGATGAGAGACCACTGATGCATGATGCTGCCAGTGGGGAAGAGCAGGTGTTTGAGGGTGAGTTTTACCTCCCTGCCCACAATAATGAGATATAATTGATGTTTCTCACATAGTAAATGGGTCTTACTTCATATTGATTCACACTTATTCTAACAATACATAGTTTAGTGTTCATATCTGGTTTTTAAGTCTATGTCTAGTAATATATGTCTGGTAATAAGTCTCGTCTGATAATAATTCCCTGTCTCGTAATAAGTCCATGTCTGTTAATAAGTACTATTGGATCCAAGTACTATTGGATCCATAGCTACTTTATTGGGATGTGTGCCTCCAATCCCCACCCCCTAGGTAAAGTGTATAAACATTCACTGTGGGTTTTGGTTTAAATAGAGTTTGACAATATTACTCCCGTTTTATTTCTGACAGCTCCAGCAGAGCAATTGATGATAAATGAAGAGACAATGTGTAGAAAGGTTCTCAGGTGCTTAAAGATAACAGGCTGGCTGTCTTTTAATGTAAGTATCACTTTCTGTCTATCTGTCTGTTTTTCTGTCTGTCTGTCTGTCTATCCATGCTTATGTCTATTATAATCTCATTCTGATTGACCATAAGTATCGTTATCACTGACCCAGAGATGTATAAAACTGTCCTCCACTGAAGTTTTATCTTGGTATTACAGTTGTGTGCAGTGTACCTGTTTGAATATATAGTACAAGGATGTGCAGCTAAAGTGCGACCTAAGTCAGAGTACAACATCGGCTGTCCTGAGCTGTATGCAGCCTTGTCCCTGTGTTATCAGGTACGTGTTTAGGTGACGTCATCGTATTAACCTTGTGCATTTATGACTTTAACCTTCTCATCTATGACCCTTATGATTGTGACCTTGCTTTATAATTATTGCTAATCTTGTTATTGCTTTATGCAGTTTGTGTGTGACCTTGTCTTTTATAACCTTTGTATCAGTGACCTTGTCTTTTATAACCTTTGTATCAGTGACCTTGTCTTTTGTGACCTTTGTATCTGTGACCTTGTCTTTTATGACCTTTGTATCTGTGACCTTGTCTTTTGTGACCCTTGTATATGTGACCTTGTCTTTTATGACATTTATATCTGTAATCTTGTCTTTTCTGACCTTTGTATATGTGACTTTGTCTTTTATGACATTTATATCTGTGACCTTGTCTTTATGACCTTTGTATCTGAGACCTTGTCTTTTATAACATTTATATCTGTGACCTTGTCTTTTGTGACCCTTGTATATGTGACCTTGTCTTTTATGACATTTATATCTGTAATCTTGTCTTTTCTGACCTTTGTATATGTGACCTTGTCTTTTATGACATTTATATCTGTGACCTTGTCTTTATGATCTTTGTATCTGAGACCTTGTCTTTTATAACATTTATATCTGTGACCTTGTCTTTTGTGACCTTTGTATCTGAGACCTTGTCTTTTATAACATTTATATCTGTGACCTTGTCTTTTGTGACCTTTGTATCTGTGACCATGTCCTTTTTTACCCTTGTATGTATGACCTTGTCTAGAGTTTTGTTATTCTTTCTATTTCTAACAGACTTGTGTTTCTTTGTAATGGTTGACATTTCTATTTGTCAGGCTGGAGTATTTGTGTCCAGATCATCTGTCCAATTGTTACGTATAAAGCGAGTGGAGATACTGACTATACTACAAGCTGTCAACATGTTTATCTGGCTGTTTGATGTCCATGTAAGTACACATGTTTGATGTCCATGTAAGTACAGGTGTTTGATGTCCATGTAAGTACAGGTGTAATGGTAGATGTTTGATGTCCATGTAAGTACAGGTGTTTGATGTCCATGTAAGTACAGGTGTTTGATGTCCATGTAAGTACAGGTGTTTGATGTCCATGTAAGTACAGGTGTTTGATGTCCATGTAAGTACAGGTGTTTGATGTCCATGTAAGTACAGGTGTTTGATGTCCCTGTAAGTACAGGTGTTTGATGTCAATGTAAGTACAGGTGTTTGATGTACATGTAAGTACAGGTGTTTGATGTACATGTTACTTATTATATAGATTTTTAATTTATGTTTCCCATGGAACAGGTTAAACTGATCTGTTTGATGTCTATATAAAGTACAGGTGTTTGATTTAATGTAAGTACAGGTGTTTGATGTACAAACATTATTATCAATGTCTATTTATTTGAAAGGTTATACCAAGTTTTGATGTACAAACACTTTTGTTTGCAGTACAAATTTATGCCAACAGCTATTTTGCCTGCTGTTATGATATATGTTGGACTGCTTGGTGGTGTTGATGTACATGTATGTCATGTACATCTTTTACCGATGTTCATAACGTACAGAGTTTGATGTCCATCCAAGTACAAATGTTTGATGTCCAACATCGTGGCTATCTTCATTTTGATGTCTGTATATATACATTGTGGCCATCTTCATTACTCTAGATCTAAATATTAACATCGTGGCCATCTTCATTACTCTAGGTCTGTATATATACATCGTGGCTATCTTCATTACTCTAGGTCTGTATATATACATTGTGGCCATCTTCATTACTCTAGGTCTGTATATATACATTGTGGCCATATTCATTACTCTAGGTCTGTATATATACATTGTGGCTATCTTCATTACTCTAGGTCTGTATATATACATTGTGGCTTTGATGTCATTACTCTAGGTGTGTATATAAACATTGTGGCTATCATCATTACTCTGTGTCTGTATATATACATTGTGGCTATCTTCATTACTCTAGGTCTGTATATATACATTGTGGCCATATTCATGTTTGATGTCCCTAGATCTGTATATAAACATTTTGTGTCTATACAGATGTTTGATGTCCACTACAGGTGTATGATGTACATTGTGTTTGATGTTCCTGTTAGTACAGGTGTTTGATGTCCCTTTAAGTACAGATGTTTGATGTCCATGTAAGTACAGGTGTTTGATGTCCCGGTAAGTACAGATGTTTGATGTCCATGTAAGTACAGGTGTTTGATGTCCCGGTAAGTACAGGTGTTTGATGTACATGTTACTTATTATATAGATTTTTGATTTATGTTTCCCATGGAACTTAAACTGATCTTCTGTCTATATAAAGTAGACATTCCTTATGATTTAATGTGTATGTCTCAGTACAAACATTATTATCAATGTCTATTTATTTGAAAGGTTATACCAAGTTTTGATGTACAAACACTTTTGTTTGCAGTACAAGTTTATGCCAACAGCTATTTTGCCTGCTGTTATGATATATGTTGGACTGCTTGGTGGTGCTTCATATGTAAACATCTTTTACCGGCTACTACACGACGACAAGTATCCAGACCAGGACAGAGAACTCTGTATCAACATCGTGGCTATCTTCATTACTCTAGGTCTGTCTGTATATATACATTGTGGCCATCTTCGTTACTCTAGATCTGTATATATACATTGTTGCTATCTTCATTACTCTAGGTCTGTATATTAACATCGTGGCTATCGTCAATACTCTAGGTCTGTATATATACATTGTGGCTATCTTCATTACTCTAGATCTGTATATTAACATTGTGGCTATCTTCATTACTCTAGGTCTGTATATATACATTGTGGCTATCTTCATTACTCTAGGTCTGTATATATACATTGTGGCCATATTCATTACTCTAGGTCTGTATATATACATTGTGGCCTTCTTCATTACACAGGGACTTGAGAACTTTCTATAGTTCCTGTGACACAGGGAACTTAGGATAGCCCCATATTTATTTACCATGTTGCATATGTTGACATGAATATACTTTTTTTAATATTATAACTTTTTCTGTGATTTGTTTTTCCAGGCATTGTATTAGGAACTGTGTCAGAGACTATACTTTTCAATACAGTCCTAAAATCTGACTAGACTGGTCTGACAACATAATAAACAGGATCACAAAAAGCATCTGCTCCCTCATCTGTCTAAAGAAATCAACTTGCCATGCTGCCAGTTATACGGTCAGACCTATTCAGATAGACCATCCATACATTTCAGTAAGAGTGGTCAGACCTGTTGTGTTGAGATAACCAGACCTTTTCAGACAGGCCATCTGTACATGAAGTAGGAAATGACCAGCCTATTCAGATGGATCATCATTACATTTGTGTTTGGATTATCAGACCTGTTCATACGGACCATCGATAAATTTGAGTGGAAATGACTTGCCGTTTTCAGACACAATATTCATTCATTCAAGTGGGGATGGCTTGTCCTGTTCATACAGATTATCAATATATTTGTGGTTTTTGATGCCATAACAATTTCAACTGGACCTGCTCTAAACAATTTCAAAGGACTTGCATCAAAGACGTGTTGATATCAGGGAACTTGAGATCTAGACGCTACAGTGTGGCCTGTACAAAATGTAACTACATTATTGTAAGAGTTGTCTTTCTTGGCCTTGTTTTACGAGCGGTGCGACGTGTTACCAGGATTGTGCAATACTTTTAAGATTTGCTTGCTCAATTGTTTTATCTTGATGGAGATACATTTATTGTCTTGTTCTGTGGATGACGTTCATCCTGACATTTACATGTTTGTATATATAATGATTTTAAAAGTTCAATTATTTATACTTGTTGTCATGGTATCAACTACAACTTAAAACTTGAGATTTTATATCAGCTCCATGTTACCCTCCATTACATCATAGACGGTCAGATATACTCCGGATTAGATGACTACATTGTGATATTAATTTGACTCCGTGTAACCCTGTGATATATAATCGTTAATTTGGTAAATTCTATTTAATTTTAATAAAATGAACATAAGATTAATGGTAGAAAGTCCAATATCACATATTGTAGCTTCAAATCAGTCATTGAAACCACTCCTGTCTTCAAAGTGTTAAGCCAATTATTGAAGCTGGTAAAACCCATAGCAAAATCTGCATCAGTTATATCCACTGAGAAAAATATATGAATGATTTGGTACTGAAACAGACCTTTTTCGGTCACCATGATTATGTTCATATTAGCGATAAATACAATCTGATAGCGTTCAATGCCTAATTAATATTGATTTGATTAGATTAATTAATGCCAAACTGTTGACATATATGGCAAGTTATTTACAATCCTACTCCTCCTGTAGAATGAATGGATTTTGCTAAAATTTGGTCTGAAGCATTGTTTGGAAAAGGTGAATCATTTTTTTTTTATAAACGGTGGGTCTCGACCCCCTAGACAAGAGGTGCGAGGCCCAAAAAAGGAAATAGAGCAATTTTTAAAACTCTTACTCCTCCTGTAGGAATTATTTGACTTTGTTCAGATTTAGTTTTAAACATTCTTGGATGAAGGGGAATCAATTTTATACAATGGCTCGATCCCATGGGACAAGAGGGGCAGGTCCCAATATTGGAAATAAGTCAAATTCTTAAAAATCCTACTTCTCTTGTAGGAATGATTTGGTCTTAAGTATGAATGGTGTTGCTGACCCGCTAAGGACAGAGGGTTGGGATCAATTAGGAAAATAGATATGTTTTGTGCTGTGTGTTTGGATATCTTGATTTCCCTTTTTTTTTTTTTAATTTCTAATGGAGCAATTTCAGCCAAGCAAAGCCAGGTGAGAGATACATGCCTAGTGGGCCTCTTGTTTCTCTATAGCTCTTGTCAGGTCGTTTTTATCACCAATTTACCAATTACATTTACCTTGTTGGTCTACATTTTGAAACAATGAAATTAGCATATTTCAGAATGCTCATTCCGCTAACCAACGAAGGCCAGTCTGTAAAATGTGAACCAATAGATATATTGTCATACCATTGAAATATGATGATTTATCCTAAATCTTTAAGTTCTATTGTCTACATGTTTGTTTTCATTGTTTCGCTGAACTGTGAATATATGTCCGATGTATTCGTCAAAAACTAATATCTACCTTAAATGATTTTTATTTCATTGTTTTATTTAAATATTGTGTAAATGAAATCGCTGTGACGAAATAAACTTATATCACACTGTTGATTGTGTGTTATTGTTTCTACCACCAAACGTCCTATATTCTCGGACAACTGTGTATAGGTGTTGAAGGTTGGATTATATATGACCTCCCGGTCTTTTGATTGGCTGAGAAGTGGAAATGTGACTGAAAGTGTACTTTATGAACATGCACAAATTAAAAAGCTCAATAAAAAGTTCACGAATGTTTTTGTAAAAAAAAAAGTGACTTTCTATTAATGTATTGTTTTATATCTTTATTTTAGGTAGTGGTTTGTAATGAATTATAACACGTCTACATAACTCTGAAGTGTCTTTATTGTATACTAACTAGCAGCATTTTACCGCCGGTAATACATGGGTTTGTTATATATGTTATTTCACTCTAGTTAATCATTCTATAACCAAACACACTCTAAAGCTTGTGGTTTTGTAACCATATAAACAGCATTAATTATTTGGTTGATCCAAGATCCAGCATCTTTATTTACGGAGTTAAAGAATAACAGAGAGAAGGGTTAGAAGGTAGTAAGTGTTCAGGCGTCTGTGCATGTCTAATATTACATTTCTACTTGAAAGTAAGCCGACGTTGCGAGATAGAGAAATAGAGGATTTCAGAAAAAGGACGATATACATAATTTACAGGATTGATAGCTTCTTAGAACACCAGTGACACTATATCTACATTAACACCAACAAAATCATTCTTGTATACTTTATTATTTATCAAGTCTAAAACATAAGCGCTTATTGATTTAATCACGCACGTGCCGAAATATAGAAAATACCGCCATGTCAACGAAATCTCAAAGGATAAAATGAGACCCACAGCGCTCTTACATCCCTGGCAACTAAAGTGATTTATATAAATTGAAATATCTTGTTTCATAATTGTTGTAAAATAAATATGATTAATATTAAACGAAAAATAAATCGATGTAGAGGATATGAACAAAATAAACATTTAAGCGGAGGCAGCTGCTGAAGTTCAAGGAGATCAAATGTTCAAGAAGGGTAAGCGCTTTCTGCTTCATCGATGTCATGTAAATCTTGGTCAGTCTTATTAAGTAATCTCATCGAACACGTCTAACTTCATATTGGGATAGGAAACAGATTTCCCAAAGCATGAGTATTGTGAGGGTAAAGCCGTCCATGTTGGTTTTGTTGCAGGAAAAGATCGAGGATCATGATTATGTTCATATGTTGGTGTTTTCTTGTAATTTTTTAATGCCTTGGCAAAGCTTTCCTAGCTTTATATTTATTAAGTATGACCCAGTGCCTTGTATTTGTACTGTCGTTAACCTTGGATATGGTTGTTTACAGACTAGAACGATTACTTGTTCTTGCAGGAGAGGGTATTCTATGTTAGTCAGTTTCTTTTTGTAATTCTTCAACATTCACTTACCATTATAACTGTAGGAGCAATGCTTTATAAGTTATATATAGTTATCTGTCAGATGTTTCGCTTTTTCCTCCAATTGCACTATACATATATATATATATCTGTAAGATCGTTTTCATTTCATTTCAGCACATTTTATTGTCTTGACAATATCTTGAAAGTCTGACTTTAATTAGGACTGAACAACAAATAAATGCTATATAAATTCTCTCCATATGATGGCCAGAACATTATGATAAATGTACAAATTGAACGGAAAACTGTATAAATATTTACAACAAAAACTCAAGGGAGGTAAGTCATAAACTCTCAAACTACTTACACACTTGAATTTGTACAAATACATATATACTGAAAACAACAGTTCTAATAAATCACTCCATACACAATTATGATAAATTGTTGACAGATTTTGACGTATTGTTCTAGCTTCATCACTCACAATCATTCTTTCTCTTTTGAGATTTTCTTCCTCCCTCCTTAGTTTGGATTCCTTGACTTTCACGTCGGCGGTGTTATTTACATCTGGGGGTATATGTAGTAGCAGTATTACGGGTTTGTCGAGGATCACACCCAGGTTTCTCATCATCTGGTGTCGACACATCGTGCCCTCCACATATGGCAGTAGGGTCCCTCCGGTGTGGTTTTGTAATTGTGTTAGACCTGATACGGGTTGATGTCCTACATCTTTGATTATAGTGTCTATTGGCTATGCTTTATCCTGGTTTGGTCGGATCACACATCAGAAGTATTCGGGAGAGGGGTGTTAAGGAACTTGTCCATCTGTGATAGGAGTTCCGTTCACTATTTGGTTGTGATAGTATCAATATGTTTTAAAATAGACTACAACTTATCAAGATTGCTCCCATTTACAAGAAGCTAAGTGTGGTAAAATTAATGTCGCTAAAATTTAAATCAAACCAATCGTCGTTGCTTTATGTCCCCTGAATCTTTACTACAATGAAGAAATGATTGACAGGAAAATTGTATTGATCGTTCCTATGGTTCGTGTCCACGTGGGGTCGAGATCTGTACCGTATCTCAGAAGCTCGGAGTTCACCCACCTGTTTATTTTTTCCGCAGTTTTATAATGCCTTTCGATCACTCATTAATGAAACTAAATACATAGATTACACTCTATGGAAGTTTGCTTCATCTCCTGTAATCCTAATGTTTGGAGAGGCTTGAATTTCCTGTGGGACACACCGGCCATATCGCTGCTTGTAATGGGCATTGAATACGGGAATGCTGTAGCCATATGTCACCCTGACGGACTATGTCAGTTGATCTCCATTTTGAGTAGGGCGTCTCAATCATTTCCCAATGATTCTGTAACATATTAAGTAAAACGGGAACTCGCAGAATTGTTTTCATCCGCAAGATTTAGCGTTGTGTGCCCAGTGATAACATGTCTATCCCTGTAGCCTGATGTGGTTGATCAAACGAATTCCGTTCTAAATCTGCTCGTTTACCGTGATGATATTTAACACTGAATAATTCATTCGTTATCAACTAAACCAAAA